AGAATGTTGAATGCAACATGGTATACTTCTGCAAAATTTGTTTATTAATTAACTCTCAGAGACTGCTGTTTTCTTAGGAACCTTTCAGAGATATTCCCTCTAATTGGACTAGTACAAAACAACCCACAGCAGGAGGGAACAGGCTGCTTCAAACAAGGTTCCACTTTCTTTCAGTTTAACCTTCATCTTGTTGATAGGCTTCTGAATCTTAATTTAATTGCAATTTCTTAAAGGTTTTCTGATAGCATATCTCAGTCTCTCCGTTCTGTATCTTTGCATGGTTTCTTTTTTGTCTTGGGACAGAGGGATAGACGATTTGTTCCCATGTCCATTGAAATTTCCATTGCCTGCAGTGCAGTACGCTCTATAAAAGAAATGAACCTGCTGCAAGTGAAATAGCTGATGCTGCACTGCCTTTTTAGAGCTACAAAAATCTTTATAGATTATTTTTCTAAGTGTTATGAATCTCCTTGAAAGTCACAAATCACCGTTATTAATTAATATACTTAACAGTCTCATTTCCAATTCACATGCAGGCCATACAGGGTCTATGCTTATCCTGGCAGATGCTTGAAAGCCTTGCCTTTCAGAGATGAAATGTTACCTTGTATATGATGAGGGTAGCAAGGGGGGTGATTCAGGAGCAGAAAGACATGTTAAAGTGCAGCACCTGAGGCCTTCTTGTTTTCTGAATTTACAGTCTCAGACTGGCAGTCATATAAATGAGTGATGCTCTGTGATGTTCCTTTTGAAGCAGGCTACGAAATTGGCAGGGAGTCTTCAGTTTTGTGCTGATGTGTCCAGAATTCAAATAATTTGATTCTTGGATATAATGACAGTTGGAGGCACAGTATTACCTTGAGAAAAGAGATGGGAGAGACAGCTGCTGTATCCTGTATTGAATTAACAACCGATTCCCATTTACTCTCTCCACTGAAAACTCTATTATGCAGGGTTCTTATTGCCCTTATTCAAGGGCATGGAATTAAAAAGTGATATTGATGGTAATGCTCTCATCTTCCTACCATGACATTGAATAATGGGGACAAAGAAGGGAAATCTTGAATGATGATATGCCTTTTAAAATACTGCTGATATTGAAAACATCTAAAGGACAATGCAGTTGAGTATCAGCTGATAAAGTCATATTCAGATAATTGTGCTTTTTTCCTATTACTTTATATAATATTGCTTTTATTTTTGTCATTTTTGTGAAACATTTTATTTTCTTATAATTTCTGGAGAGAGTCTGTACTGTAAGGAATATACTTGAGAGGAGGATGAGGATGAAGTGTTGGTTACACAAATTGCAGGAGAAGTCTATTCTCTCTCCTCCTGGATCCAAGGAAGAAGAGTTATCAATTAACTTGTGAGTAGTATGAATTATGAAACTGACTTTAAAAAGTGGTAAGCAGCAATAATTTAGTAAACAAATTTAACAGCAGAAGAAATGCTAGGAATGACTATAGAATTTTCCTTACATTCTTATACTTGATAGTTGTTTATGGGTTTTTTTAACATCTTTTTGCTCACACACCTGCTCCATGTCCTGTGATGTCTAAAGGTTTATCTGGCTGGGAAAACTGCATCAAAAGACTGCTGTAATTATACAGGCAGAGTAATACTATTGCTCAAGTGGAGGCTGCTTCTTCGATCCAGTGTCATTTTGCACTTTAGCTTAAGGCCTTTCTGAAGTTACATAGACCAGATTAAAAAGGTGGTCTTATAAGAAAATAAGAATATCCACCTCGGACACTGCAGCGTCTTTGCGTTAAAAATATTTTCATTTAGATTTCAAAAAATATTTTCCTGTGTAGATGATACTGAGTGTATTTCCATTAGAAGGTTGTAAAGAATTTTATAAAATAAGTAATAGTATCCCTATTTTACAGCTGGGCAACTGAGGAGTAGAATTTTTAACCAGATTTCCAAAAGTCACACAGGAAATACTTTCTGACGTGGAAACAAAACATAAATCTTCCTCTCATTAGTACAAAACCACAAAGCCTCTCTGAACTATTAGCACTATTAGCAAATCTCAACCCTGGTGTCAATGAGGCCGCTTACGCTCAATTTTCAGTCAGATCTCTCTATGAGGTGGGATCATAGAAATAACTCTACAGTATGCCTGAGTCAGGTTAAAAATTGCACTGTAAGGGGATTAGGGAATAAGTGTCAAAACTCTTATCTGTAATGATCTCAATTGATTCTGACTACATCAATACTATCTTCATACTGGTATAGTTCTGTGATTTCTGTTACAACAGAGTCAGTTATACCATCATTCTGTATGAGATCAGAATGCAGCTGAAAACCTCTTTCATAGCAATTCTGAAAAGTCAAAATCACTGCTTGCTTTGTCAAAGTGAATCTCATTTTATCTCCCGTTTCCCTTAGCATAGTCATAAATGTCAGCAGAACACTACCTGCTATTTAAAATACATGGCATTCATTCAGATATTCTTCAACTGGCAGGTCCGTGTGTTATATGAGAGTTCCAGACTCCCCAAGGCATGACATTCTCTTTGATACCGGTTTGCCTCAATATGCCATTAATATGTGACTACACAGAGGTCAGCTTTATGGCTGATTGCTATCTTCCTTAAAATTATCTTGCCATGAGCCAGTACATGTTCATGAAGTCGTAAGCGCGCCTCTCCCCTGGTTGTACAGTAGCGCTGTCAAGGTATATTTATCTAGAGAGGAGTGAAAGGAGAGGGGCTCTGAGGGAGACGTAGCAACAGTGTGACAGGGTATGATGACTGGGAAAGTTTTAAAGGCATCTGCCATTAAGTGTTTTTACTCCCTTGTCTGGTGATGTGGAGCTCTCTACGCGTATATACTCCCACGCACAGAACTGAAGAATGATTGTGCACCTGCACCCTGCATTAACATAATGGTTACATCCAGCCGTGCGTTTTCAGCAAGCTGTGTAAACTAAGGAGCAGGGATATGGAAACTCAGATTCTAGCTGCACATAATGTTTGTAAGGAGCTACTAATGGTGAAGAGAGATGATAGCTGTTTTTTCCTTGTTCTTGGGGCACAGCCTTATTGCCCGTGCTGTCCTGGATATATTTTAGGTAGTTAAAATTATAGCAGCTGCCTGTGGCCTCCAGAGGTCAGCATATCACTTGAGAAGAGCTGAATCACAGAGCTCTCAGGCTATGCTTTCTCCCTTCAAACACGATCCCATTTTGTCCCCTGTACAGTTTCCAACTTCAGCAGCAATAACAAGATTTGAAGCTTTTTGCCCCCAACACTAGTGACAACGAAGCAAAAAAAGGGCTCTCAGAATATCTATTTTAAAAGTCACAATGTTGGCATTGATTAGTACTACTTGGATGAGAGATCCTGTAAGTGACAAATTTACTGAAAAGAATCTGACAATAGATATCCATGTGTAAATAGATATCCATGTGTTTAGGTGCTACTACTTATACTTTAGTACTGATGGAGTGAATGGGCATACCAACCATTTTCTCGGTGGGCTGTCAGACTTGTTCAATTGCTTGCTATAAGCTCGATTTTTGAATACACATTTGAACACCATATACAATTCTAGTGACACTCTCAGAAGGGATAAAGTAGAACTAGAAAATGTACAAAGACAAGGAATAGAGCTTATCAGCTTTCATGCAACATGAAACTTAGACTATTAATCTCAGAAAGAAAAGTTGGAGGGGGTACAATATAGGTCTTTAAAGTCAGGTATAGTGCAAAGAAGATCTACAGGAAATGCCTGTTCATTGTCTCTCACAGTACAACGAGCACCTGAGTGAAGTTATCAGGCAGCAGGTTTTAAAATACAGACATCATGGAGTTAAAATGTGAAAATTACTGCTTTAGGGCATTATAGAAACCAAAAGTGTAAAAGAGTCAAAAAAAGGGACAAGGCAGACTCATGGAAGATAGCTGTACAAGTCGCTGTTAAGCAGAGGGGTCTGAAAGCAAGCTCAAGCAAAGGAAGTTCCTGCAAGCTGGACAGGCTTCATGAAGAGCAGCTCATTCCATGCTTGCCTGCTGTATGCTTCCCTAAGCAGCCACTGCTTTTCACTGTTGGGAGTAAGATACCTAATGTCCCCTTTTGTCCAGATCAAGCATATGTCTCATGTTCTTAATTTTACTCTTCTGGTAAGAAATTCCCTTTTAGCTTAAGAAGCAAGGGACAGCAGTCTTTGCAAGAAGGGCTCCGAATTTAATTCTTTCTAACACCAGCAAGTATTGATTGTCTCTAGTGTTATTATACTAGATTCAATAATCCGGAGCTAAATCCAGGACCAGCTACCTTTCTAGGAGACCCTAATCCTACATGGCCTCTTCTGAAATTTGATGGCCTCTGTCTTTGTTGCAAAGGAACCCCCAAATGGTTTTCCCTGTGTGGCAGCCAGCCACAAAACATCCTCATAAACACCAAAGAGCCTCAGTGTCACACAATACTATCTGATTTCTCCTTGTCATGAAGAACTCTCCAAAGCTTATTCAAACCAGTCAGTGTTTTCATGTTACTGCTTTGAAACACGCCCTTGAGCGAATCAAGTATGTGTCAGCTGTAGTCCAAATGTAGAAACCCTGCTACCAAAAAAAATTCTGTCCAGCTCCAAAAAAAAAGGAAATAACAACACTCAAATCTTCTGTTATTTTTATTAAAGCTGCAGAGTCTTGCTACACACAACAAATATTTTATCGATATAATCTAAGTTAATAAAATAGTTGAACAACTCTTTAGATTTATATTTGTATAGAAATGATCTGTGGAACATCTCATCTTGAAACAGCAGTGCCTGAAAGCAAATATTCA